TTTCTCTGACTTTGTTACAGGGTCTGCCACAGAGGTTGGAATACCCCCTGCAGGGTCAACTTGCACTGCTACAGCTCGTTTCTCTGACTTTGTTACAGGGTCTGCCACAGGGGTTGGAATACCCTCTGCAGGGTCAACTTGTACTGCTACAGCTCGTTTCTCTGACCCCGTTACAGGGTCTGCCACAGGGGTTGGAATACCCTCTGCAGGGTCAACTTGCACTGCTACAGCTCGTTTCTCTGACCCCGTTACAGGGTCTGCCACAGGGGTTGGAATACCCTCTGCAGGGTCAACTAGACAGAGGGCAAATACGGAAAATAATGTACTATAATACTCAATTTGGAAAACAGGCGCAGCAGAGTTGAGATTAAAGCAATCAGCATTATGACAAGTGACTATTAAGCAGGTCTAATCCTTACACCAATTTTAGTTTAACACACTCTGGTCAGATCTGCCATTATCTCAACCTTTCGAGCCCCACGTTGGGCGCCAAAAAGACTGTCGTGGTTTAACCCGGCTGGCAGCTAAACACCACGCAGCCGTTAGCTCACCCTCCCCCTCCCTCTCTGGGACGGGGGAGAGAAATGGAAAGTGAAACCCGTGAGTTGAGATAAAGACAGTTTAATAAGACAGGAAAATAATAATAACAATATAATAATAATAATAATAATAATAATAATAATAATAATAATAATAATAATAATAATAATAATAATACAATGGTGATAATAGTACTACTAATAATAGTATGTACAAACAAGTGATGCACAATGCAGTTGCTCACCACCTGCTGACCGATGCCCAGCCTCACCCCGAGCAGTCCGGCCCCCTCCCCCCGGCTAGCCACCCCTATATATTGTTTAGCATGACGTCAGATGGTATGGAATACCCCTTTGGCTAGTTTGGGTCACCTGTCCTGGGTCTGTCCCCTCCCAGCTCTTACTGCACCCCCAGCCTGCCCGTTGGCAGGACAGAGCAAAAGGCTGAGATGTCCTTGGCTTGGTATAAGCACTGCTCTGCAACAATTAAAACATCGGGGTGTTATCAGCACTCTTCTCATCCTAAGCCAAAACACAGCATTCCACCAGCTACCAAGAAGAAAATTAATTCTGTTCTAACTGAAACCAGGACAGGTACTTAGGACATGGGCTTAGCCAAGGAAAGAAAAAATTGGATCCTGACAGGGTATCTGGGATTTTAGCCCTGTCATCACCCAAAAAGAAGAAGGAAGTGAGGCAACTGCTCGGCCTCTTGGGATGTTGTAGACCCTGGATTGAAGGGTTTAGTGAAAAGGCAAAGTTTTTATATGAAAAATTGACTGGAGAAAAAATTAAGTGGAACGAGGAAGATGAGGAAAAGTTGAGGTTGATCAAGAAAACGTTAATAGAAGCTCCAGTGCTGAGCCTCCCACATTTAGAAAGACCCTTTTATTTATTTGTAAATGTTTCTAACCAAACCGCATATGGAGTACTAACTCAAGAATGGGCAGGAATCAAGAAACCTGTGGGATATTGTTCCAAACTATTAGACCCTGTGAGTAGGGGGTGGCCAGTATGCTTACAGGCAATTGTGGCTACTACCTTACTGATTGAGGAAGCTAGAAAAGTCACTTTTAGGGCACCTCTGAAGATATATACTCCACATAATGTTAGGGGAGTACTCCAGCAAAAGGCTGAAAAATGGTTAACTGATAGTAGGATGCTGAAGTATGAGGCCATCCTGATCGACTCCCCTGATTTAGAACTAAAAGTAACTGCTGCACGGAGTCCTGCACAATTTCTGTATGGGGAACCCCTAACAGAACTACAACATAACTGCATGGAAGTGATTGAACTGCAAACTAAAATCCGACCCGATCTCGAGGAGACAGAATTAGAAACGGGGGGAAAATTATTTATTGATGGATCATCCAAAGTAGTAGATGGAAAAAGAAGATCAGGGTATGCCATCGTAAATGGGGATATGGTCCTAATAGAATCAGGACCACTCAGAGCTGCCTGGTCCGCTCAAGCATGTGAACTTTATGCATTATTACGAGCCCTAGAAGTATTGAAAGGAAAAAGTGGCACTATTTGTGCAGACTCTAAATATGCTTATGGAATAGTCCACACATTTGGGAAAATTTGGGAAGAAAGGGGACTCATAGGCACACAGGGAAAAGGGCTGATTCAACAAACTTTAGTTACTCAAAGATTGCAGGCATTGAGAGGACCTAGGGAGATTGCTGTGGTACATGTCAGAGGACATCAAAAGGGAACTGGCTTCCACATAAGAGGGAATAACCTAGCGGATAGAGAAGCTAGGGAAGCAGCTCTTAGGAAGCATGATGTAGTCCTAACCCCACAAGAAACGGATAACAGAAAAGGGACACAAGAGAAAAAGTATACAGAAGCAGAAATAAAAATTATAAAGACCATAGGAGCAGAACTGAAAGAAGGAAAATGGATTCTGCCTGATGGAAGAGAAATACTGCCAAAGGAACAAACTAGGCGTCTACTTTAAGGCTACACCTACAAACACATTGGGGAACAAAATCATTGAGTGATCAATTTCTAAAATTTTATGGGTGTGTAGGAATATATGAGATAGCCAAACAAACCGTCCAAGGATGCTTAACGTGTCAAAAAGTAAATAAGAAGGTGATTAGGCAAGCACCTGCTGGAGGAAGAAGAATTGCATATCGACCATTTGAGAGAATACAGGTGGACTTTACTGAACTACCAAAGAGACGGCTATAAGAACGGTGGAAAAGGGGTGGACGCGTGCATCGCGAGTAAAGGGACCTGTAACAGGAACCTGGAAGGTTGAGTCTACTCCTGGAGATCTGAAAGTTAAGCTTAAAAGAACTTTAAGTATATCAGGGCATACCTACCCTTTGGATGCTAATTGTATGTATATTAAATCTTGTATTGATTAGAATATTAGCAATCATTGGAAACTCATATAAAGGCCATAATAGAAGGATTTGGGGACCCCAAAGTCCCATAGGGGGAGTGTCACCTCCAGTAGAGATACCCGCAACATCTTGAATTACCTGAAAATTTTAAAATAATAGGTGGGAAAATTTACCTAGATGATTGGTTATCTGCTTTGAATCGAGCCCCCACTAACTCATGGAAAAGTTGAACGCAAATAGAAGAACCATCGGGTGTGTAAGTCTGGACCATTTCCTAAGAAGCATCAGGGAGAGGGCAAGACCGGAGAAGGGACCAGTACTGCAGCTCAAGAAGGTTTACCAAGGGCTGAAACCCCTTAGGGTAATAACCACCGGGTAACATGGCCTTTACTGGACCTCTCCTAATTACATGCTATTGGTCTCAGAATTGTAGTGAATGTATTGTTAACACCCGGAGGGGAAGAATGTAGGAACAAACACTACTATGCCTGTTAAACCTATGCTATGGAAACCAGAGTATGCTCGATGTAATGAAAGCAATAAGATAACCAGTTATGAGCCGAAAGAGGCCCCCTATCAATGGTGGATAGAGGTAAGAGCTAATAATGAAGGAGGGTTAATTGGGAAAAGTACAGTTATTATACACCCTGTGGAATCATGAAATTGAAACACGAGCTAAACATGGGATTCCAACCATTGCTAAAAACTTGTTTATAAAACTTACAGAGAATATTGTGAAAGCATTCTTTTATGGTTAAATTGGCCTTGGCCAAATTCGAAGCCAAGACACAAATTAATGACATTCAAAAGAAGAGGAGGGATTGTTATATATGGAGTGGTAATTCGTGTTGAGAAAATGGTTATTAATAAAGAAGGGGGATATTTGGGAATGTGGCAATGGGGGTCCGAAAGCCTCGAGGTTGGTGATAACATCAGACTCTTAAGGATGAGATCATCAGGAATGGAAAGAGTTTAGAGGAAATAAAGAAGGGTGATTGAGGTGACGCCCTGCCGTCTGGGGTTGCTTGTTTTCCCCTCTGTTAAGGCACGGAAGTTGCTGGGGGGGTTGCTGGTTAGAACTGTTAACATTTATTGTTTAATGTTAAATGATAATAATATTATTAGTGTGGCTTCAAGGGTTAACGAAACACTGGAAAAGCAATCATGCTTTGTTACTTTTGGGAACCTTGTGGTGGGCAGAGCATGTGCAGAAGAAGAGGGAGGCAGTCGAAGCCGCTCCTGCAGTCTGGAACAAAAGGTTGCTAATGGTGATGGGGAAACTGTGAGCCTTTCACCCACAACAACCACCACAAAGAGAATTATAATATGAAGTGGGGATAGGATATCCATATGTATAGGCATAATTGGGTTTCTTGTAAATATGTAACAGCAGTGTCCTATATATATTTGGAAAGTTCGACGGGTGCGTGTGCGTGTTGGTAGAGCATAGACTCCCCGCGCACCCAGCGCTGTTTACTTGCCTTTTATAAATATTCTTTTATGTTACTAAATTCAGAGTTGAGACTTCATTTATAACACCTAGAACTCATATTTCTCATTTTTCCTAGCCCTTGTCAGTGTGCTGCTACAGAAATTTCCCTCCTGCAGGGTACCACACACTAACGTTCCGATTCTGAAAAATTGGGGTGTACTGTCAAGCACTTCCCCATTGTTATAAATGACGATACAGCTCAATCTGAATTTAGTAATGTTATATATGGAGTAGTAATTGGTGTCGAGAAAATGGTTGATGTTAATAAAGAAGGGGGAGATGTGGGAATGTGGCCATGGGGGTTGGAAAGCCCCATGGTTGAGATAACATTAGAGTCTTAACGACGAGGCCATCAGGAATGTAAAAGAGTTTAGAGGGAACAAAGAAGGGTGATTCAGGAGACTCCATGCAGTCTCTGGTTGCTTGTTCTCCAGCTGGTCTCTTGTTCTCCAGCCCTTAAGGCATGGATGTTTCTGGGTGTTTGCTGTTGTTACATTCAAAGTTGTTTGACCAATGAAAAGTTGTTTTGAAAAGAACTGCTGTGGGGAGAAGGGTATAAGAGGGTAAACTGCCCTCAAGAAAAAAAAAAAAAAAGAAGAAAAAAAAAAGAGGCAACACGATGAAGTTACTGTACTGGGTCTGGAACGATACAGAGAAGATTAGCATGGCCCCTGCGCAAGGATGACACGCAAATTCGTGAAGCGTTCCATATTTTTTAGAGAGAGCGGTTGTGGGGTTTAGCTGCCCAGTACGGTAAAACCACCACAGTTACATCAATAAAGAAGCAGGAAAAAGGAGTGAAGAGGAAGAGGCTAGCAGAACGGAGACCAGGACGGGAATAGGCACATAGATCGCCTCATGAAGATAGGTTCGGCCAAACTCAGCAAACTGCTCAGAGAACCTCTTACTGAAAGTTGCTGCAAATAGGCGCACTGGAGTTGGAGACAAGCTCAAGCTGAGAGAAGCGGTCCGGTGCACACAGCTTCCCCTCGCTGGTAAGCAGTTGCGCATTATGGGGAATCATACGTCCTTAGAAACACAGACTGTCCTGGTAACCTAACAGCTCATTCTCCTTATTAACAATCGGACGGTTTATGAGCCTGAAATATGGGACCAAACTGAGGTCAAGGTGTGGGACTCTGCAACTAAAAATGTCAAGGGGTACTCCTCTAGGTACCCCAATAGAATCTATGTATACTCTGTCATCAAATGAACTCCTAAGCGTCTTTTACTTTTTCTAGGTATTTCTGATGTTTCTCTTTCAAATGCCAGGGTGAAGGGTATAGCTAATTGAACAAGTGCACAAGTGCCTCCCCAGTCGGATGGTGGGGTGGACTGTAAGATCTTCCCTCCACCGTACCACCAGAGATCTGCCCTGGGGATCTTAAGTCTTGAGCAGTTTCCCATCAAGTCCTTGGTAGCACAAGGCAAATTCTCCCAGATGCCAGGTAGCACTCACACCCTGCCGTGAGAGGCAAGCTGTATGGTTACCTATAGCTGTAGAGAATGCAGGGGGAGCCCTGATATCCCTATCACGAAAGGAACAGCAAAGAGAGATTTACAGGCCTCATTTCCCCAGGCAGTCTTTTCTTGGTACAATGCAATCATACATCGCATCCCTTGGGAGTCTTTGGTCCACCCCCATGGGAAGGGCACTATCTGGGCAATCGGTCATCCCGAGGCACAAGCATAGCAGTAGCTACGGTTGAGACTCTGGACGGTATATTTGACCCATTCTATCCAGGCATTCACATCCCCATACCTTGTTTGAACTGACACATTTCAGAGGGCCTCCTGTTTTCTCTCCTGTTTTCTCCTTGAGTTTCTCCCTTTCTCTGATGGCAATAGAGGATTGTTTCCATATGGAAACATTCTCAGTCTGGCTGTTGGGTCTCTCCCAGTTATTTGTTCTCTCTGCTCAATTGTCGTTGGGCATTTAAATCTCCACAAGCTAACACCTCACAAGCATCAAATGTGACGGCTTGTGGTACATAACCCTCTGTCACAGTCACCCATATTTTGATGGGGTATCCCGTTTTTGCTATTATCTGGTCATGCCTTTTCCAAGTTGCCAATTGACCGAGGCCTTCTCTGAGGCCTAGAATCACTAAAAACAAAATTAGTCATCGATTTTTCCCTGTCATTATTTTTAAACCTTAGGGTTCTAAATAATTATCGATACAAAGAATAAGATATACACTACTACTATAACAACCCCCCCCCTTGGGAGCACTGCAATTCGCTATAGGTGTGTCATTTCTATCAATCACAAATCACACTCGTTAGTTACCTGTGAAAATAAAAGGTTAGTTTACAATTGTAAGCTTTTATCCTACTCAGAGTCCACTATGAGATTGTTCTCTTTGATTTCAACTTCCAACAAGTCTTTCATAGGAACAGCTTCCCAGGTACTAGCGTTGACGGATGCCTTCACTCGAGTATAGTGAGTCCAACCTTTTCCACAGTTCTTATGTCTGTTTCAGTGGTTAGCAATTGTCCTTCCCATTCAGGCCGGAGTTGACTCTTTCCAGGTCCGAATCAGGACCCGGTTTCCTGGGTGATGGTGGTGAATGGGGAATTCCAAAGGTGGGGTTTGAGCCAACGACCCACAGGTCCTGAGAGATGACAAAGAAGAGGACAACCCCAGAATACAGTTCTTAAGAAAACTCTCTTGTTTTGAATTGTGGTATCTCATCCCTTCTGCCCAGATAGGGCAATCTGAACAGCATCTCATATGGTGAAATTCCTATATCCTTTCTTGGTACTGTTTGAACCTGTAGGAATAAGCATTTTACCCAAGGAAGCTGGGTTTCTAACACTAGTTTAGTTAATTGCTTCTTTAATGTCTGATTCATTCGCTCCACCTTCCCAGAAGAAGAGGGGTGCCAGGGGCTGTGAAAATCCCACTCAATCTCTAAGGCCTGCTTTAACCCTTGCAGTAAAGCTTACACCCATCTAGTCACATGGTCAATTAGGACAAACAAGTAACTCAGTAAAGTCTACCTATATACTTTGTAAAGGTCAAACCCCTGGCTCCTGTCCCCCTCTAGATGGATTACAGAAGACCTTTTTATTTACCTTTTGACATATGGTACATCCTCTACATATGTGCTTCCCTAAAGTGTATATTCCTACACAGACATGCTTTCTTAGCACAACATCACACATTGCTTGCACCTCCCAATGACTCTTCTGATGTAAAACAGTTAATATTTGCCTCATTATCACTTTATTCAGCATTTCTCTCCCATCAGGGAGTATCCATTTTCCTTCAGACTTCATGGCTCCTGATTCCTTAAAAAAAATCTTTCTTTTAAAACTTTTTAGTTCTTTGTTAATTTTCAACAATTCCCTGAATCCTCTCTGCATTTATTCATTTTCCCTCAGACCTTAGATGCCTTAAATACCTGACTTCTCTTTCTCCATATTGTAATTTATTTTTCAATACTCCCAAGCCCTGCTTTCCCAGAAAGTTGAATAGCTTGTTAGTAGCTTTCTTCACAACTCTTTTCTCCAGTCCTGGCAATAGAAAATGATCCACATATTTGTTAACATTAATACCTCCTTGGGAGGTTGTAATTGCTCCAAAATCTTTTTAGAACTTACCCAAATAGATAGGTGGCCCTGTAAACCCCTGAGGTAAACTTGTCCACCTATATTGTTGCTTCCGCCCCCATTTCAGGGTCTTTCCAGTCAGAGGTGAATATACATGTATGTTTGCTGAGAGCACTCCATTAATAACACTGTTATTCCAGTCTAACAATTTACTATTTGAATGCCCAATTTAATCATCAAATCCCTTCCCAACAAGTTAGTCCCTGCCTTGGGTACATACAATAATTACCCAGTGATCATTTTATCCTCTAGTCTCAGCTTGGTATCCCCCAAAGGTGGCACTGTTATCCCAGCCCCTTCTACCCCCATCACTTTTTAGGGTTTCATTAGTGAATTTAATCCCTGATACTTTACAAGTCAGTAATGACCTAGCTGTTCCCCAGTGTATTGGGTTTGATGGCAAGGTTCGGGGGCTGTGAGTGGGGGGGTGGGAAACTGCATGGCAGCCCCTGTGAGAAAAACCCAGAAGCCTCCCCGTGGTAGATAAGGAACAATTTCATCTGGCCCCAAAGGGGCCCCCTGCTGCCCAGAGCCAAGCCATGAGCAACACAGTTGGTGCCTCTGTGAGAGCACATCCACGAAAACAAACAAACAAAGAAAAAAAAAACAAAAACCTGCTGCTCAACAGCAGTTGGGAGAGTGAGGAGTGAGAAACCTCTCTGCACACACCAAAGTCAGTGCAGAAGGAGAGGGAAGAGGTGCTCCAGGAGCTGGAGCCGAAGCCCCCCTGCAGCTGCTGGAGAGGCCCCTGGTGGAGCAGGTTGTTCCCCCCTCCCATCCCCCTCACCGATGCTTGGGAAACTGACCAAACACCACAGCAAATATGCAAATATACCAAAACGTCCAGACTGTTACTTAGATAATGCCTACATCCTCTTTCCCTGCTCATTCAACTTCTAACAGCTCTGTCAAATGCTACATACCACACCTTTAACACCTTCAGTAACATTTTTAACACTTCTTTCTATCTTTCTTTTTACAGCCTGTACTTTCACCACAGTCTCAGTCAAGGGCCAACTTAATTCCATTTCTTTCTCCCTCCAGGATGCTAAAACAACATATCAGTATACCACATTTCATCCCATTTTCCTTCTTTCCTCCTTCTTCCACTCCAGATATTCCTATTCAAAGTGGCCAGACTGGCCACACTTAAAACATCTTATCAAAGCCTGTCCCTGCTAGGACTCAGGCCACAACACAGGCAGCCTTCTTTGCCTGCCATTCCTTCATCTCTCTTCCTCTCCTTTCCATCCTGGCCCTGACTCCTCCTGAAGATTTTCTTCCTCTTTCTCCAACCCTCTGCCTCACTACCCACTGCACTGTCAATACCATTAGTTTCACTCTCTTTTTTTTTTTTTCTTCCCTTCTTATCTCCCCTCTGGACACACACCTCCAGGGCCTCCCGCAGGAGGGTCCCCCAGTGACTGTTCACTACATGCCCCCATCTTCTGAAGCATTTTCTGCGTATCTTGCCAGGCTTTAATCACACAATGAACTTTCAAGAGTCCTTGGGATACCGGGTCCTCAGGAATCATCCCCAAGTACTCTCTCATTCTGACCCCAAGTCTCTCATATGATTTCTGTGTTGCACACTATTATTATTCCAGACAGGAAGAGCAAATGGGTGTTTCTGCTCTGCTAGTATTACCCCTTGTCCTGGAGGATGAGCTCTTTCCCATTCTTGTATAGCAGCTCTCCTGATCATTCCCATTTCTTTCCCTGTAAACAACATACTTATAGACATAATTCCCTCCCCCAAGAGTATAATATGTCAGGTTGTAGGAACTGGTCTAATTGTTCAGCTAGGCTGTTGTGGTCCTCAAATAAAGACTTCCTCTCCTTCTTAAAAGTCCTAACCTCTCTGCTGGTAAGGAGGGGGGGTAGTTCACCTAAGAGGATACACAGTTAGTGTTAATTCTGTTAGTATCAGGGAAGGCAAAATTCTCCATATATCTTCTACCTTGTTCTAATTCTTGCCAGAGCCTAGAGTACAATCCTTCTTTTAGGGACAGTGTTAGTTGCAGTCCCTGTCTCCCTTCCTGGAGTGACTGCTGCTGCCACCGGTGCAATATTAGGATGATAGGGAGCATAACTTGGCTCCTTCTCCGAAAAAGGAATCTTCTTGTTTACACATAAATTTAAAGCCTGAATTTTCATCAGACCCCTATTTTGTCCAAAATACTGCTTTTTCCTTAATTGGTTCTTTTGTCCAGACTGATACACAATATTTAACCTTTTTTTTTTTTTTTTTTCTTTTACAATCCCTCTAATTTTGGGATTATGTTTCCAATTTCTTATCATTCTTCAGGAAGAACTATTGGTAGGCACTCCCCCAGGGATATCTCCCTGTCCCCTGGAACTCATATTTCCCCTTTTTCCTAGCCCTCGCCAGTAGGTTGCTACAGAAATTTCCCTTCTGCAGTGTACCACACACTAATGTTCCAATTCTGGAAAATGGGGGTGTACTGCCAAGCACTTCCCCGTGCAAGGGTTACCGCACACCTATGAGTTTACCAGATTCCCTGGTGTACTTCTAAGTACTTCCCCGTGCAAGGATTACCGTACACCAAATTTCCCTGGTGTACTACCCAGCACTTTCCCATGCGAGGGCTTACCATACACCAAATTTCCTGACACTCTTCACACAGAGTCTCACCCGACCCCCAAGGCAATACTTAATATTTCTTACCTTGGTCTGTGCACAGAGTTACTGGATCAATTCTTAAACCCAGAGTGCCTACCTTCTTCCTTTCCCCACTACTTGCAATGTATTAGATATAGATATAGATTGCAATGGCGGGCGCCCCACAAGCAGGAGAGAGCGCATCTACTACTTCCAAAACACAGTTTATATACATTTTGATGGCAGGACCCTCCCCTGTTTCCCCACTGAGTGGGTAATCCAGGTTCACAATCTATCTGATGCTTCACAAACAATGCATGGCCTTCAGTTGCTGGCCTGTTAAATTTCAAATTTCTTTTGATGTTTTTACTGTAATGTTTCTTCACTTATCTGACTTGACTTAACATTGTGATTGTTACCTAATTGTCCTAAGGTGTCTGGTTGTCTGCATTTTACAAGGTTGCCTGCTAAGCTTTTTTATCACTGTAAGCATATCTCAAGACCACATTCCTTTCCTCTAAACAATGTAACTGCAAAAACAACATTTCTATTCTCACAGTGGATCCTGCCTCTTTAATCAGTCTCAGGCGCTCTGTCAGCAGTCTGCAGAACCTCCAGGGTCCATGCACTCACAGACAAGACATGGCTTTCAGTCGCCGGCCTGTTATAAGTCAAATTTCTTTTGACTTTTATACTCTTTGAGTTGGTAATGTTTCTTACACAGTGATTTCTGCCTTACTGCTCTAAGGATTCTGGTTGTCTGCATTTTACAAGGTCGCCTGCTAAGCTTTCTTATCACTGCAAGCATATCTCAGTACCACATTCCTTCCCTCTAAACAATGTAACTGTGCAAAACCAACATTTTTATTCCCACACTTTCAGCATTAGATACCTGGACATCTAGAAATAAGACATACAATTATTAACACTCCAGTTAGCATCCCTCCTGCAGCTGCAAATATTACCCTGGTAACCTTGTCACAATTCGGAGAGGTCCACTTACCCTTTTCCTGCTTCTTATAGAGTCATTAGCAAGTCCTCCCAGAACTGGGATGCAGCAGTATCCTCGGATTTGCTCGATCTGCTCCCAAGATCACTAGCAGCCACTCCATTGGTCAGCAAATCCCTCTTGACTGCTTTATCCCTCAGCAAATCCCCCTCAACCACTCCATCAGTCAGCCTGTAGTGTACCCTCCTCCTTTACAGGGACTATGCTGCACGCCAGACGTCTCTGCGGTTTACCAGCTGCCCTGGCCACGTGTACGACTTATAGGCCCTTCCTGTACTGTTACACATACTGTTTGGCCACGGTCCAGCAGGTCGTTGTCTGCCTGTGCAGTAAGCTAAGCGGCTGAGGAGCAGACTTCCCTCAGCGTAATGTGCCCGGTGCGTGCTAGGACATCCGTGGCACAGCCACTGCTGTGGGCAGGCAGAGAGCTTCCTGCCTGGCTCGCCTGTGGGTAGTTAGGGTCTGGCGGCCGGAAGATGTCGCGCTGTACGGAAAGGTGGAGCCCCTCCCCTGATGGACAGTAGCGTGTGGTCTGTGATGTAAGCAAGCGGAAGTGACGCTATGGGCCTCGGGTATATAACACCATGTGACTCGACAATAAACACCATTTGCCATCCACCACATTAGTGTCTGTGAGCCGATGGACCGAGCGGCCTGGGGTTGGTCGCCGTGCCGTCCCTGAACCAGGTTGCCACTGCCCCCTGAAGGCAACACTCGCCAAAATGATTCATGGAATAACTACAACTGAAAGCAAATGAGTTATAAAGTAGGTATGTGGTTTATTTTGGCGCCGGGCGCACGCAGGATAGCTCCCAAAGGTACGTGCACCCCAATGCGGCAACTTACCTTGGTTATATGCAGTAAAAAGTTACATATGCATGAAGTTTCCCAATATACCTATACATATGCATAACCTATCCCCACTTTGTATTAAAATTAGTTCCAAGAAGTAATTTCCATAAACTCCTCTGTCTGCACTTGTGCAGTGCCTTCTCATGGTGGTCGCCGGGGGTCATAGGGATGAAGTCTGATAACTCTTCTTCATCACCACTAGTTGACCTCCTGACTTTGTGCAGGCTCAGCTGCTCCTTGGCTCTTGTCCAAACCACAAGGTCGGTCTCAGATGGTTTTTGAGACAGTTTCCCCATTTTTGTCAGGAACCATCCTTTGTGAGGGACCCCAAGAGTCCTTGTTTCAGTTAATTTGCACAGTAGTAAGTAAAGACATTCAGCAACATCTGTTTTTAATGCGACTAAGCAAGTCCCCATTCTTCTATCCTTGACTTCACTAACCCTGGAGCATAGGCCATCCTTTCATTAGAGGCACCTTTATTCTGCAACAAAATACACTACTTCGGAATGAATACATGTGGGATTTGGCTTTGATAGTTTGAGGTTTTGGTGAAACATGTGGGAATAAAAATGTTTTTGCACAGAGTTACATTGCTTAAAGGGAAGGAATGTGGTATTGAGATATGCTTGCAGTGATAAGAAAGCTTAGCAGGCGACCTTGTAAAATGCAGACAACCAGAATCCTTAGAGCAATAAGGTGGAAATCACTGTGTAAGAAACATTACCACCTCAAAGAGTATAAAAGTCAAAAGAAATTTGACTTATAACAGGCCGGCAACTGAAAGCCATGTCTTGTCTGTGAAGCACCATATAGATTGTGAACCTGGATTACCCAAATCCAGTCAATGGGGAAACAGGGGAGGGTCCCGGTCCTCGAGGAAAAAAAAAAAAGTATATAAACTGTGTTATGGAACTAGTAAGTGCGCTCTCCTGCTTGTAGGGCCCCCACCATTGCAATCACGAATAAAAATGCTACTTCACTGAGATCCTTGCCTGAGCCTAAGTTATTGGCTACAGAGTGTTTCTCACAAACACAGCCCTTGCAGTGCTTGAATTGGGTAAATAGAAGTGCATGGGAAGAGAAGTTGTGCTGCCTCCATCTCTGGCTGAAGCAGCAGCAGCACTGGTTTCAAGGTGTTGGACGGGCCTGCAGGAGTGGTTGAAGGCTTGGCAAGATGCCTTGTGGACAAGGGACTGCATCTGTTCATTTTGAAGTCAAGACTGCTAAGAGCTCAATGTGGCTTGAGCTTCGTTGTTGTGTTTATATATATATCAGACGCACATGTTGAGAGTGCCATGGTATCCATGAGGCAAGGTCTGGCAGCTAAAACTGAAACCAAGCAGAGCGATGGCCGTCAGTAAGGCACTGTCTATCGAGTGCCATGGCCGGCTCGGGGGACAGTTCCCGAGGAGTCACAGACTCGCCCCGGCTATAGCCGAGATACCCTCGACGGCAGCCGGCACCCCCTGGGCTTCGTTCCCCCTTTCTGTCCCTGTCCCTGTCCCCCTCCCTCTGTACCGCGCTTCGCCCGTCTGTTGCTGTGGAACCCCCCGGAACCCCCCGCCCACTGCCGCCCCTCCCGGGGGACCGTCCTCGCTATCCCTCAGGGCAGAGCGGGGCGGGCAGGAGAGCGGGGATGGGTCGGGTCTCGCTCCCTTTGCTCGCGGCCCTTTCCGGTGCCTCCCCCCGACCGCCGCTGCCACATCCTCCGCTGACATCAGCCCGCGCCGCCATATTGGGCGAGAAGCGCAGTCCTCCAGTTCGGTCGCCGCAGGGGAGGACGCCGGCCGCCTCCACCTCCCTCACCGTGGCCGAGCCCCAGCCCTGCTCCTCATGAGTCCTCCCGGCCGGCCGCAGCGGCGGTGCGGGTAGGGCCGAGGTGGGAGCGGCTCCTGCGCTTTCCTCTTCCCCGCTCCCCCTTCCTGTACCCTCCCCGCCGCCTCCGGCCATGACTTCCCTTACCCAGCGCAGCTCCGGCCTGGTGCAGCGCCGTACTGAGGCCTCCCGCAGTGCCGCCGCCGCCGACAAGGAGTGGGGGGCTGGCGGCGGCCTGGAGGACGAAGGCCACCGAGATGAGCTGGGGGATGACGAAAAGGGCGACTCCAAGGAAACGCGGCTCACCCTCATGGAGGAAGTGCTACTCCTCGGCCTCAAGGACCGCGAGGTGCGGCGGCCCCTGAAGGGAGCGGGATTTGTCGAGGGGTTGTGGGGGGTGCTGACGGTGAAAGGGAGGTCGGGGGAGGGCGTCGGCGATGTAGGGTGCGGGGGGGATGGGGCAGGGCAGGCGTGGGGTAACTTGAGGGTTTGGGGCAGGTGCTGGGAGAGGGGGGAATGTCTAAAGAAAACAAGGCTGCTTTTCAGTACTTAAAGGGGACTTATTAAAAAAAAAAAAAAAGGAGAGTGGCTCTCTGCTCAATTGGATAATAACAGGACAAAGGAGAATGGTTTTAAACTAAAAGAGGGGAGATCTAGATTAGAGGTTAGGAGGAAATTCTTCACTGAAAGGGTGGTGAGGCACTGGCACAGGTTGCCCAAAGAAGCTGTGGCTGCCCTATCCTTGGAGGTGCCCAAGGCCAGGCTGGATGGGGCTTTGGGCAGCCTGTTCTGGTGGGAGGTGTCCCTGCTCATGGCAGGGAGTTGGAACTGGAGGGGCTCTAAGGTCCCTTCTAATCCAAACCATTCTGTGATTCTCTGTTCATGATGTTGCTGGAGGACAGGGTGTATGCAAAGGGATTTGGAGGTGGGGAAGGCACTTGGGGGAGAGTTGCCCCCCCTTTTTGGACATGGGGCTGGTGGAATGGTTTTTCAGTTTGTAGCATCTCAAGGAAGGCTTGAGGAAGGGTTTGGTGGACAGGTACCCTGAGGCGAGGGCCAAGGCCTCCAGACAGCACTAGAGCTTGGCTTGAAGGCCTGTGTAGACCTATGATGTTTATGCTCCTCCTCCAATTTACCTGTAGCTCTTACCTGGGAGACTTGTCCATGTTTTGTCAGACACAACTATATTGTACTTACAGGGCTTTAGGATGTGCAGCAGCTCTTTCTAAAAAGACTTTTCAGACTAATGCACATGTCTTAAAAATGTCTTAAATGTCTTAAAATTTAAGGCAATACATGTGACAAAAATAGGTTTTGAGTCCTAAGTGGGTCAAAATGATAATTCAGTGTTTTTATTGAATTTATAGATTGTTCACTATTGTACTGTGAATAACAGAAGGTATATTTCTATTGACATGGGAGTCAATTTTATATTGATTATCATTTGGAAGGGATAATCAATATGAAAAATACGCACACTGCTGAAAGTCAGCCCTATCGGGGAAATAGTTTGATATGGTGTGTGGTGAAGTATAATATGTTTATTTCAGATCTGAGTTATAATATGAATGTCATTAAGTGACCTGCTTTATTTTTTGTTGTAAACTAATGAAGACAGCTCATTGATTTGAGTGGAAGTATCTTGAAGTTGTGCCTGTTTATGAGCACAGAGTAAGGGGGGGGGGGAGAAGTAGGTGATAAGTTGTATGTTCTTTGACAGTGCATTGCATCTAAAATAGATTTGCTGGTTGATGATTAGATTAAAGAGTAGTTCTCCTGCTTAATGTTTGTTTTCTAATGTGTGGGGGTGTATCTGTGTGCATACCTGCTACAGTAACATGCTTTATTTCTCTCTGGCTATGTGCTTTAGGCCATATTTTTTTTTTCAGATGGACCTTGCCATGATATCCTAATAAAGTCAGTAGATATTCACAATGACGTGTGCTTCCACCTGTTGACTCTGAAGATGTATGTGCCTATGCACATTTCTCTTCTGACTCAGCTGAATAGTTGCAGGGAAGTGTTAGGCGTGCCAAGGCAGGTTTCTGTCAGGATTGCCTACAAGAAAGATGTGATAGACTGGGTGATCTTTCAGCCCCGTTTCTCGTGAATCTGTGGTAAATCTGCTGAATTTGTGGGTACTGGGCTGTAAAGATTTCAAGTTAGGTAGCGTTCTGTCTGCCTAGGATTATACAGTGTAAGTACTCCTAGTACATGAAAGTTAGTAATTAATATTGGGCCTAAAAAAATCCAGCTTTGCACTGGTGTGCATCAAAATTATAAATCACATAATTTTACTGTGTGCTACAGATAATGTATTATTTCTTAGAATGAAAAAAGAACTGATTACAGTGATGTGGATATTCATGACTCTCTTAAGATTTTGCAGTTGAAACATCAGCCAAGAAGAATGGTAATGTCGTCTCTAGGGTAGGGGCTTATGTGCATAAACAGCATAGACAGTTCCTGAGGTTTGTTAGATATGAATCACCAGGGTTTGTTTTGGTTTTGTGTCCCTTGTGCCTCTCTCCCTTATAGTAAATAAAGCTCTTTGTCTTTTTTATTTTAAACTATAGGTTCATTTTCAAAGATGAATTTTTCGTTCTCTATTTTTTGAATAAGTAAGCAAAAGAAATTAATGGAACTGGGAATGTTTTTTTATAAAGTTTTTATTTCCAATAGAGTTGGTTCCCAGTGACATTTGTGCAAGTCTATCTTACGACAACAGACAAAAGTAAAATAAGGTCTGTAAAGTATAATTGTGAAACTACACAAAGTGTAAGGGAAAGTGTAAGGCAGGTATGTGAGCTTTAAACTGAAAACCAGTAAATCTAAAGCTGAGAACATCCTTCCTGTTCGTTCAACTAAACACTAAATTATTTTATCCTCTTGGAATAAAATAATAATTTGGCTTCAAGGCTGAATTGGTATAAGAGCATGTTTCCCTGAAAATAGCTTCTCTCTGAGAAGTCACTGATAACTACATCGATAACTTAGCTTTGAGATTTTCTGGGGGTAATTTTTTTTTTTCTAACGTTAAACGCTGGTGAATATGGCATAATACAGTGTAAATTGTGTATGGAATGCCTTTCATGCAAGTAGACACAGTTTATAATTTGTACGTGTAGATGGAAGAGCCTTTACTCTTAGAGTTTTACAGGAAGATTCAGACAGTGATGGATAGATGAGTTGTATGTTTTTAGGAGATTTAGATACTTATGTGACTCCTGCCTTCAGAACAGAGCAAGGCCTTTAACAGCCATAGCAGAACTCTTGAGTTGTTGCATGGTTGTTGCTGCAGTATTGGTTCAGTGATGTGAATGTCTAGCTGCCCTAAAACACAGTACGCCTCAGCCCATTCTTAGTGCTTGCACACAATTAACTGCCTTCACTCATAACTCCCCCTCAGTTTAATCTTATTAAAATGTAGTTTATGTAGGGCTGGTTGCTCTTTTTTTTTTTTTTTTTTCCCCACCAATGGTTCCTCTTCATCTGTATCTTCTATGTATATGTAATTATTTCTGTATTCCAAAGTCAAGGTAGGTTGCAAGGGGCATATGCTGAAATGCCCACATATAATATGACAAATGCAGTGTCCTTGGAGAAGCAGGTAATACACTAGAATAGAATGCATTACTACAATTCTAGAGGGAGCATCCCTGAGGAAATACTTGGAATCCCTTCAGAAATAAAGCTGGGAATGGGAGTTGTGCTCATCCATTTAGAGCAGAGCAATAATAGCCTGTTGCTATAGGAATAAAAAATACTCACTGAAATAAAATACTTTGCTGTATTAAGTTAAAAATAGTTTTGCAATAGGATAGGTCAAAGCTGCAGTGGAAGAGAGGCTATTATGTAGAACTCCTGAAGCATCTAAGGTCACTGCTGCCAAAAGAATGGAGTAATAAATACTAACAGCTTATTTGAAAATGACAGCTTAGAGATGAGTATAGACCAGTTTGTTTGCTATGGCCCTTCTGGACATCTTGTGACTCTGTCCCATAGAAAACTGAGAGGCTGCAAGGTGGCTGTGCTCTGACTGTCTGTTTCATTTATGTGTGTGTGTATGTGTATATATATATATATATATATATATATATATATATATATATATATATATATATATATATAGTTTTCCTTTTTGTAGTAGTAGTAGTGGGGAATCTGTTCAAATGCAGCAACGCTCACAGCTGTTCCTGTACACAATGTGCCACAGATCAACAAATTGAACTAGCTATAGAGATGTGGCACCTACTTCTGTAGATCACATAATTGTGCTTAATAAGATAAAAATACTTATTTTATCTGTAACTATTTCTTTATTTGCTAAAAGAAAACTCATGAAGTCTGCTGAAATAATAGTCCCACACTGTTGCAACAGTGAATATTTCTGGATTTATTTATCCTTTCTTTGTTGAACACCAAAGCAGTGAGAGTGAAGTGGTGTTCAGTCACTTTGTTCAGTACAGAAATTTTCTTGGATCTTTGCTACTCAAATTGGTTCATTTATTACTGAAAAATTAGTGTTGCAGTAGTCTTACAGCATAGCTTTCTGTTCAAGTAGTTTCTATGAAGGTTTCTGGATTATATTTTCATTGTATGGAAATAAACAAGTTATTAGGGAGGTGTTTTGCCTGCTTTAAATGTGGTGTTTTGTGTTGATTAGTGCTAAAAATGAAACTTTATTCTTTATTCCTCTTACAAATCTGAGCAGCTGGGTTTGTTACTGAAATGTGTTTTAATCCTAAAGATTTTTTTTTTTAAAGTAAGAAGAATTTTTAAAAATATCAGGAATATGGGTGGCATTTTCTATAATCTTAAAATTTGGATTTGTGGAATTCATATTGTGATGCAGAAGTGTTGTGTTTTTTTTTTTTCCTCCTGTGTAACAAAGAAATTCTGGAAAGTTGTCTTGGTATCTCTAGTTTTCAGTTGTTCTTTTCTGTTTAATAAAAAGCTTCAATAATAGCCAGAATATCAACTCAAGAGCTCCCAGGTTTTGCTGAAAAAATTTTGGGACAAATGAGTGAAATGTGAGGAGGTGTCTGTTGGGAATTCACATCAGAGTTGAAGAATGCTGTATGAATGCTGAAACCTTGACAAAGACATGCTTTTTCTCAAAAGTTCAAGGCCTAATAACAACGAAGTGTGTAATGTCTGTGATGAAAAATTCTTTCTTTCATAATTGCCTACCTTTCTGGTCTGTTTTTGTTTTGTTTTCATGGCCATACATAAATTACAGGTCATCAGAAGAGATGGCATGGGAGGAGGAGTACCCAAGTTCTGAGCACTACAAGATGCAGTGAAGTGCCTCTTCGCCAGGCTTTCCAGTAAAACCTGCTGTTTTGG